TTCGGGGGTGTAGTGGAAGGATCAAACTTAATGCCCCATAGGTCAAAAATGGAAATAAATACATTTTTGTACACAGAAATGTAAACCAAAGAACAATATTCATTGGCCCAGTAGTCGACACCTTTGGCCCAGTAGTCGACACTGCCTGGCCCAGTAGTCGACACTCTGTCATTTACCCGGATTGCCGGGTCTGATGGGTCCCTGCAGCCTGGCTAGCCTTTCCCTGCCTCTCGGTCGCCTTTTTGGCCATCAGGGTATCCTTCTTGGCCCTCTTTGCAAAGTGCTGTTCGCCTTCTCTGGCCTTCAGGGGACCTATTTTGAAATATGGTGAAAAACATTTTTTTTCTAGTTCTGAAGAACGTCGTTTTTGGCTACATATCGGAAAGTAATTTTCTTAGCGCAATGAGTCTAACATAAAACAGTTCTGTCGCGTCAAAGCGCACCTAATGATGTATAGGACGACACGATGTGACATACGAAAACCGGGAAGTGCCGGCAATAGCACGGTATTGACACCTGGTGCTTTACTGATGTCATCATGATGTATTACGAACTAGAAAATTAAGGACACACGATCCCAATAACATTTCACGTTGACAAAGGGCCCTAGTTGTCAGAAGAAGCCCGTATGAAGGTAGCACACACTCAAAATAAAGTAAGTGTCGACTTCAGGAACAGATGTCTTTTGCTGACCCAGTAGTCGACACCGCCATTATTTACGCCCCTGACCGCAATTTTCGAAAACCTAAATGGGGCAAGATAATACATATCTTTGACAACAACACAAACCTCCTCCGGAACTACTCGAGTGAATGGCAGCCTCACAGAACCTTCCGAGCAAACACCTGCCCACTACTCCGGAGCTAAGAAATCATGGCTCGATGTGACGCGACGAGCAGTGTTCTGTGCGAAGCGCTCCCTACCGGCTCCCGGAGGTGGCACAGAATCGGCAATGGGTTCATTGTAATCTCAATAGAGTTCGCCTAAGCCTGGCAAAACGCCCGAGACTCTAACGTTAACTATTTCGCGGGAATTCGATCACAAAGTTGAAAGTGTCGACTACTGGTGTACTGTCGACTACTGGGCCCCTTACCCTATTCTTCCTGGCACACATCTGCTGCTCGTGTGATTATCTAGGTTTGTACTGTCCCTTGGCTCCTCCCAACGGGAGTAAAATGTCAAAGGCCTTACATGGTCCCGTTGCTCTCTACCGGCAGTCTCCCCGCTGATGTACACGTCAGTACGCAATGCCCGGTCGAATCCACGACGTGGTTAGGTGGACAGGCCGCAACCTCCGCGTTAGCATTGACAGCATCCTTGCAGTAAAAGTAGATCTCCAGGGACTGTGCGTATGGCTGGTAGGATGGTCCATCGCAAGCTGCTGTAGAGCAGGGAACGTCAGTGCTGTAGAAAACAAATGGCGAAATTAAAATATTGTGCGCTACTACGTTAATATATTGTTGTGTTTTAAAGAATTCTAAAGCACAGTGATCAAGTTGAGTGCCATTACTTAACGAGCTAGTTTTCTCCAGTGGCTTAGTGTGGATTCAGAGTTCACGAAACGCAAGCGTTATTTTCACGCTTCGTAAGTTATTTTCACGCTTCGTAAGCTTCGCGCAGCCAATCAGGGATCGACTTTCATCACGCCGGGCGTGAAAATCACGCTCGCTTTTAGGGATCTTTGAATCCACCTTTATAATTAGTATAAAAGCATTCTGCTTAAGCTGAAAAGAAGAATGCGGGTAACAACAAAACGGAAATCACTACGCTTTATAATAGTGAGTTCGGTTTTACTTCCACTGTGCATGCTTTTCAGTTACAGTCTTCCCGGAACGCTTACTAACAGGCTGTTTCGTTAGGAAGAGCCTCAACGAGCCCACGTTATGAATGCCGCTTAAAAGCAGTGGCGAGACAATTTTTCTCGTTGCTGTTATAAAATTAGAACATTCTCCCGCCTGGCCGTATCTCATATTTCGGTATTACAAATCATTTACCCCCCATTGCCAAATACGAAGAAATTCCTCTCATTACGGAAAAATGGTGATGCTTCACAATGTTCGCCAAAATTTCTCGCGCGCGATAGGCATGGGGCTGACCTGAACACGCAGTCTGCCCGGGCATGGCTATACACGGCTTCAGCTGCGCAGTCGTAGCGGAACGCGCTGCCTCCGACACACAGCCAGTATCGCCTGCAGCTGGAGGGGTCCGGGAAATAGCCGTCACCGCTGCACTTGAAGTCGAAACTGGCGGGGGGCGGCAGGACACAGGAAAGGTCCGCCGGTGTCGAAACACAGGCACCTGGAAAGTACGTGCTTTAGCTACTAGCAGTTTTACTAACAGATGATACCTTACACTTAGCTTAAACACGACCATACATTAGAAAAGGAAGGTGTCATCGGCTTCAACTCTCGATAAAGAACGCTCGGATTCGGCACTCAATGACTCAAATTTCATATGTTGCACATTTGTTTGTGCAAGATATAACGCGGACGATCTTTAGTTACTTAAAGTAATCAAACACAAACTTAAGAAAAAATTAAACATATTAATTCTAAAAAGTGCTCCACACGTTTTGGACTAGTAAGTCATCACTTATTTTAAGATGACGCAAGGAGTTTGCCTGCATTGGGACGTACCGTTTGAGCAGTATGGGGCCTCCGCAGGGCAGTTGTCGACTTGGATTGGCCGAAACAAATTGCCAATCTTGGTGCAAGACAGCGTGGATGAGCAGTTGACGCATGACAACGCCTGGCCGCCGCAGTCCGATGGCCCGAGTCCCAGCGCAGACACCTTCGGTCAAAACATACGGTTCAAAACAAGTAATTTCAGATATTACTTTAACTACCAACTAAACTCGTAACTGAGATCGTGCTCGGCAACATTTTAATCTAGTTTGGTACATAAAATATAGAACATATAACTAGACTTGTCACACCTGCTTTCTAATTACAAATGTCTCTTTGGAGACGGATCGGTGAAAATGCAAGGAACCACTAATGTGGATTTAACCAGGGGGCGATAGAAATGTAACAGACTGTTTGATAGCTTAAATTTGATAGACGTGGGACAATTATATCTGGCTGACGAAAAATATCATTGTTGGCTCCTTGTTATCGATACAATAGTTAACCGATATTATTTTTTGCACAATGTGTGACACTGTTACTAGGAATTGGAGACCAATATTATCAAAAGCACGATTCCAGGTACTAAACTTTTATGTCTTTTCAACTATACGAAAATCAGCACAATTGAGACTACGATTTTGGATCGTGCCGATGGACATCCTCCAAAGTCCATATTAAAAAGACGCGTATCTGTTGATTTACGTAAACATAAGGACACGAATAATCCTTTGCATAACTATTCACAATTCGTTCATAACTGTACATAAGATTTGTGCATACTTTCAGCTGTATAAAATTCTGCATGTTTATGGACAATGAAATGCATACGGGTTTAGTGTATATTTAGGCGTCCAAAGAAAGTCTTTCTGTGTGTACATTTTGAATAAACCATTTCAGTCTACGTCCGTTAAATGCAAGTGCGGAAGAAAAGAAGAACCAAACCGTAAACAGACTGCTGAACCGAAGTCCAACCGAAGTCCGCAGAGAGGGAGGTGGCCAAAGGCCAAGGGCCAAGGGCCACCGCCTTTTTCGGATGCTTGCAAATCTTTTTCGAGTTTGTTTCTTCTTTTCTTCCCTACTTGTCATGACGGACATGGACTTCTATAGTCTATTCACCGCAAACAGATCGACAGAACAAACCATCTCAGCCGCGATCAGCCATAACGCAAAGGAGAAGATCTTCATGGTTGGAGAGCAGAGCAGCGCAAGCAGCACAGCAAACCCTCAACGCACCGAGTCGCGTGCTGGCCTGTTATATGCGGATGTTTCGAGCTTTATCTTATCACACAAACAGGAGATTTTACTGAATTAATTTACCGTCAAGGTTATTCAAATGCTACTCCCCAGTTACCCTGTTGGCGGAGCTTCACATGCACTGCAGCAATTGCGGTGGGAATTTTACCCCTTCCAGGCAACGCCTGGACTCTGACACGGACTTGTCTTGTCCAGTTCACTGTCAATTAAACGCCGCAATAATAAATTCCGAAAACGCATCCGCGATATGAATATAGACGATGTGACTCTGAGCTTGGCAACGTCTCAAATCTTTCTGCCAGAACCGCTGGAGACCCAAGTAGAGTACACCAAGTAACACAAAACGTCTTTTTGAATATTCTAGAGATTTTTTTATATTTTTTTATTGGTCAAAAACCTTACTTAGAACGCCGTTTAATACACGACGCAACGTTGCCAAATTGACTTTTGCCGATGGGTCACATAGTCTATTGTGGAGGATTCACATGTCTTACATGTCTTGTTGACTGTGGCGCAGTACGTTTCAATAACATTGTGGCTTTTCTTTCTTTTCATTATTTTTTACCAGCCTCTCGCTCATGTTTACGTAATAGACCTTGTCCGCTCTCTGGTCAGGGTTTCTAAGAGGAGAAGACAGGAAATCACAACCAATTTTAAAATTTGCGATATGCCGCAGTATGGGACGTTTTGATGGGTAAAGTGAGCAGCGGGATAACGTCTTTCATAATATTCAACTCAGATGTGCATGCATTCTTGCTGCGATTTTGGTACTGGTTCCGGTCATGATTTCCTTTCTTCTTAAAATACCAAGAGTGATGAGGTCCATCCTTTGGTACTTATTGATATAGTCTTTTCGCTGTAGAGTTGTAGGAAATTGACTCTGTTTTGTGCTCAAGTACCCAAAACTTTACGTTCTGCCTTGAGTTTGGTTCACGAAAAAATAGTAAATTATTTTAATCTTATCGTTACGGTATTGTAATCGAGAGGTCGACAACTCGACTTTTTAGTGTATACAGCAGTACAGTCGAAGTACACGGAGTACCACTTAAGTACATCGGTGTACAGACGTACCCGTTTAGAAAAAGTTCCGGAATGTGTCCCCCATCGGACTCAGTCCGAAATCCGTCTTTCGGACAAGCCCGAAAAGACGTAAAATAAGCCACTTTTCGGAACATGTCCGATGCTCTGCCGGACTCGGACTAAAGGGAGGCCCGAGAAAAAGCAGAGAAGACGAGTATTCGATTCCCTGCTCGTCGGACTTATCCTTTCCTTTCCGACGCTCTAACCAACTGAGCCATGCTGACTTCTTGGAGACGATGCCATCGGGCCGCCTCTTCAACGACTCGCTCTATAGACAAAGCGTCGTGCTCTGTAGAGGGCGAACGAATTGACGTACACGAATGCGGTTTTCGACAATAATGTAGGCAATAAGGGACGCTTTACGATGTCTACTTGAGTGCGATACAATACAATAAAACAAAATTTATCTTACAACAAAAATAAAGAAACGAACTTCAAACTACATAATATAATGCAAGACTATGTCATTAGATTTTTGATTATAAATGAAGAGTGCGAGCTGATGCAGAAATGTAAATGCAGACACGGATATTAAATTCAGTCTTCAATCACAAGTTATACCAAATTTAACTTTGACAGGGGACTTAAATAAAATTTGGCTTCGAAGAACGTCTTGGGAATAGTCGAATAAGAGGACCCAACTGGGTCTGTTAGTGGACGCAATTCGGACTCGTCCGCACCTCATGACCGTACCAGGACTGTTATCGGGTTAAGTCCGATGCGCATCGGGCTAAAATCGGGCGAGGCAGGGATTCTGGAACACCGTCCGGACAAGCCCGATGTTGGTCGGTCCGATGGAGGGCTGAAACCGGGCTAGTCCGAACGGCGCGCGGACTTACCGCGGAACAGTCCGAGGCTCGACGGACTGTTTCGGAACAAAAGGGGAACAAGATACGGAACTTTTCATTTTTAAACGGGTAGTACTTCGATGAGGTGAACAACCGGCGTCCAGCTAAATGCAAGGGGAAATAGACTCCAAAAATTTGTACACCCGAAGTCGAAGTTCATGAACTTCGGCCGAAGTTCACTGAAGTTCGCTCTGTAAAATTTAATCGAAATTTACTCAAATTATCCGAAGTTTACCGAAATCCATCGAAGTTCACGGAGTTCACCGAAGTTCAAAATAAGCGTCGAAGTTCCTCGAAGTTCAAACTAAATGTCGAAGTTCCCAAAAGTTCAACATAAATGTCGAAGTTCCCCGGAGTTCAAAACAAATCATAGAAGTTCACTGAAGTTCAAAATTTTTTAGTACATATTCACGGCTGAACTTAGTAATTTTGAGTGCTTACTATAAGCCAATCTCGAGCTTACTCAAAGCAGGTATCTACGGGCCGAATTACAAAGATTAAGGAGGGAGAATTTTGCTTTCATATCTCTTGATCAGGTCGAAGTGCGAGAACTTCGGTCGAAGTTCCGAAAAGTTCACCGAAGTTCACCGAAGTTCACCAAAGTTTTCGAAGTTCACCGAAGTTCGCCGAAGTTCAAGGAAACGTACACCGAAGTTCAGGCCTATTTCCCCTTGGCTAAATGTCATCCGCAGAACGCTTGGAGTACACCTGGGGTACGTGGAGCGCAGAGTACATTTCGGAGTACACCAAGCATTGTAGACTCCTCCATTGTGATTCAATTTAATTTATGGTACAGTAAGTGTAAACGAGCGTTATAATGATTAATTGTGTTTGGGGACAGGCCTCTGTTCGTGCTATCATATTTCACTAGTGAGAAAAACATGTTGTTGAGACACACCGCTCGCTGTGAGGTGCTTCAAAATACCTTGTTTTGCTGGGATGCTGCACGGTCTCATAATTGCCTATAGCTCTTATCTTGCTGCTCAAAACAGACCTAGAAGGACCGTGGACCTATACAAGAACTGTGCACAACATTTTGTTTACTTGGAGTGCCCATAAATAGGTTGCGTTGCCCCCCATGTAAAACCACTTACCGCCTCGGCGGCTGGGGACAAACATTTGTCGTTTCAACCAAAAAGGTCGAGAGCGTCGTGCGCGCTAAGTGTTATCCTTAGCGCCAAGCTGGGTAGCGGTTGTTCCGCACGATGAAAAAAGTTTCTTGTATTACAAGACCGTGTCTTGGATCTTATGAAGAACGCAAATGGCACCCAAGACCGGGTCTTGCAATACAAGAAACTATTTTCACCGTTGTGGTTTGTCCCCGGCCGAGTAGGTGGTGCGGTGAGTGGTGAACATAAGGGGTATCGATTGAAATACGCCAAACTGCGTCCCGCCAACTTAAGCTTCTTCGGTTCGGGGGAAACAAAAACAAGTAAGCACTTACGCACTTTCGAACATTTAAGTTCGCAAATTTACAAATATTACCGCAGGAAAATTTTGACGAGCCTCTCCAACAACAACACAACTCAACAATTTACAAGGTTTTGTTTTCACAGTTAGAATTTACCTTTGCGATGTGCTGATAGATGTGCATTTTTTTTGCAGAGTCCTTTTTAACATTTTTTAGCAATTGTTACTGAATCAGCAGCTTGTGCAGCGGCTATTATAAAACTTCAAGCAGCTCTCCTTTATCCTCTTAATAAGCTATTTCAGACAGCTGGGAAAGAAGAACAGTACGAATAACAAGGGGGCCCGCGAATCGTCGCTCAGGTAGAGGAGGAGCAGTCCGGGCGACGCCTTGTTATTCGTGCTGTTCTTCTTTCCTAGGTCTCTCAAATAGCTTATAAGGGCAAACTTCGAAAAAGCTAAAGGCGTCGGGTAGCCATACTCGAATTAGAAGTAATCACCTATAGTTACCCTTGATTACTCCCAATTCCAAATAAATTCCAAGAAACTACTTATTATTACCTGTACCACGTACACTTGTCATTCTCCTTTTGTTTACTTCGGCATTCTACTAGACTATAGTAGCCGCTTCACTCTTTGAACTCGTTAAGTAACTCCTCTCCTGGATCACTCGTGCGTGCCATGGCCTGGAGTGGCACTCAGGCAGATACCGGCTCCTGCGCCAGAAGAGTCCCCCCCCCCCCTCCACTCATGCTGAATGCATAAGATGCATGTGCCAATGCAGGGGTAATGCTCGAGGCGTTGCGTGTCGCGGAACCGCGAAAGCGAGGCGGTGGCACGAGCAGGTCGCACGCAGTAGTGCATGCGTGAGACTCCCTCCGGACAGCCGGGGAGCCTCGGCAGAAAGGGTCAAGCAGTGCTTCTCACAGTGACAAGCTGTTCAGCGTTAAGGACGTGGGGCAGGTAGGTAGCGTTCACCAGACAATACCTCTTCCGAGGTGTGCCAATGTGGTAGTACTCCGGTACGCATCCTTATTTTTACATCATGGAGTGTGTAACTGAACTAGGGTTTCTATTTTTCCGGAAATATGAAAAATTTCGGAGTTTTCAGAGAAATTTGTCGGAAATATTAAAAATTAGCAGTTTTAATAGAGCTTTTGCAAAGAACCGCAATTTTGTACAGTTATGGTGTAGTATTATTCAATTGACGTACCTAATGCATTTGGACCAAAGTTCATTTGGTACTTGAATCCATAGTTTTTGACTCACTGTAAGTAAAATTGCTCTCAATTGAGAGAATTAATTCAAGTTCAATTGCCTAACGCTCTTCCTTCGAGACCATTTTGCTCTTGAACCAAGAATCCCGCTTTCTGGGTGTATAGAAGAGTTTTTAACAACTACTAATGCTGAATTCTATTATTTTACATCTCTACGAAATTTATTTAAAATAAAACCTACAAATTCCGTCTGAAAAGTTCGAAGCTATGACAACATATTCCACAGCAATGTGACAGTTCACATTTTATTGACTGTGATATCACAGTGTTTAGTGTTTTAATAACAGTCATGTAATGTCAAAGTAGTTAAGGAATCGAGGTTACAAGTACCAGAGGAGAAGCAGGTGAGTGTCGGTTTGACTATAGGTATATACCAAAAGGGATATAGTGCCGTGGAGGCAACCCCGCACGCATCTACGTCTTCTCTGAATCACCCGGTACACAGGTAGTTAGTAGCGTTTTAAAACAATCCGCTACCATAAACGAACAAGTGGTGTATGACACACCCGGGAAATCGCGATTTGAACGGGAGGTTTCACTATACATCAATGAAAACTCCTCTGTTGCAGTAACTTCAACATTTTCAATATTTTCAATATTTCTGGCCCCTCAGAAATGTTTCCAAAACACTTCAGAAATTTTTCATTTTTTTTCCACGTTCTGCCACATGGGAATTGAGGCGCCTGTTCAGTCATAAGTAATGGCGGGCTTGGCGGAAGTCCCACTTTTCCTCTCTAATAACAGATACATGCCGCCAACGGATCGATAAAAAATCAGGGTCACTTCAAAAAGAGGAAAGTTTGTAAAGATAGGAAGGAGGAGCCACTCGTAATTTTGTTAAACGAGGTGTCTGTTAAGCAACAATGTATTCCTGTACTTAAACAAAAACTTACTTGTGTATTTCGTTTGAAACACCGTTAACGTAATATGCATATAACAATTTGTCTGAATTACATTTTCGAGGAATTTTGAGACTTCCAGGGCTTGAAGGTAGAGGCCCCGGATCGTTGGGTTCTTCTGACCCAACTTATTTTTGCTTATTTTTCCGACCACCCAACCCAGTCTTGACCAATGCGACCCATACGCATGTCAGTTGGGTCTGTCAGACCCACCATGGGCCAGATGGGTCCAGTCCAGGGTTGCTATCGCTAACGAAAAACTTTAGCGCGCTAACACTAACGCTAAGCGAAACCCGATATCGCTTGCCCCTAATGCAAAGCACGCACGAAGCTCAGCCGCTGGCGAAAGCACGCACGGCGAAGCGCCGCTGGCGAAACCACGCACAGCGCAGCGCCGCTGGCGAAACCACGCACAGCGCAGAGCCACTGGCGAAACCACGCAAGTGCATTTTTCAAAAAAGTTGAGATATCTATATATTCTGAAAGAACATGATTTCCTCTTTCCAACGGTATATGTCTCCAAAAATGACCAAAAAATGCACTTGCGTGGTTTCGCCAGTGGCTCTGCGCTGTGCGTGGTTTCGCCAGCGGCGCTGCGCTGTGCGTGGTTTCGCCAGCGGCGCTTCGCCGTGCGTGCTTTCGCCAGCGGCTGAGCTTCGTGCGTGCTTTGCATTAGGGGCAAGCGATATATAAGCCCTGGAAGTCTCAAAATTCCTCGAAAATGTAATTCCACTGTTAAAAAAAACTACAGTAATTCGTACAGGACGGCCAATAAATTTTTATATTGGCCTGACTGTATTTAATTTTACAGTCGGACTGTTTTTAATTTTACAGTCGGACTGTTTTTAATTTTACAGTCCGACCTGTTACCACCTGTAACAGTCTGCACTGTATTGTAGAATACGGTCAGACTGTATTCAAAAGTACAGGCTGACCTGTTACAATCTGGACTGTAAAATTTAAGTTTAGTCGGACTGTAATCTTAGACCTGGTGGGTGGAAATTTCAAATGGGTTTTTGTAGATTTTGTCCTCTATAACGGCCTTTTACGGTTTTTATTTTACAGTCTGGACCGTAAATGAAAATACAGGCCGCGGACTGTATTCTGAACTACAGTCCAGACTGTAACAGCTCAGACTGTAAAAATAAAAACAGTCCGGCCTGTATTTCAAAATACAGTTCAACCGTAAAATTAAATACAGTTCCTGACCGTTAAATAAAATATAGTCTGACCGTAAAATAAAATACGGTTAGGACTGTAATTCACTGTAATTGGCTACAGTTTTTTTAACAGTGATTGGCGCTATCGCGCTAACGCTAATGCGCTCCGGCGCTAATGGACCGTGTTAGCGGCGCTATCCGCCACCCCAGACAAAGAAAATCCGGGCAAGTACCAGGCAGGTTCGGGGCAACCCTCGGGCAGCCCCCGGGCAACCCCTGGGCAACCCCCGGGCAACCCCCGGGCAACTCCCGGGCAACCTCCGGGCAACTTCCGGGCAACACCGGGCAACATCCGGGCAACCTGCGGGCAACCTCCGGGCAAGTACCGGGCAACCACCGGGCAACTTTCCTGCTTTGTAACCAGTGCGGAGACCAGAGGGGTGGAGGGCATCAGGCTGACAGCGGGCAGTACATTGGCATAGCCCTGAAGTGTTGTGGGCCTGTGCGCCGTCAGTCACTAGCGGGGCAACGAGGTATACCGCGGGTCGGTTCACGACCCTATGCCTGGGAGTACAGCCGCCGGGCAACTCCCGGGCAACTCGTGGGTGCCTTTGCGCATCTCGCTGTCGCATCTCGCTCCGGCGTGAACCGACCCGCGGTACACCTCGTTGCACTGCTATGACGGCGCGCAGGCCCACAACACTCCAGGGCTGTGCCAGGGTCTTGCCCGTAAGTTGCGTATGAGGTTGCCCGCCCCTTGCCTCAATGAGCCGGCCGCTGTCAGCCTGATGCCCTCCACCCCTCTGGTCTCCGCACTGGTTACAAAGCACGAAAGTTGCCCGGTGGTTGCCCGGAGGTTGCCCAAAGTTGCCCGGATGCCTGGTACTTGCGAGGATGTTCTTTGTCTGGGGCAACGCTAAACGCCAAAAAAAATTACCGCGATAACGCTAACGCTAACAAAAATCCCGTCTGGGTCGTTTGGGTCGGCCTATAGCAAAATTTCGTCTCCCACCCCGCATCTCCCTGCCCCTCGCCTCCAGCCGAGTGCAGCGCCAGCTGGTGGTGACAGGTGCAATGCAACTTTTGGGTC